TATTTCTTAACTCATCAGTTATCACAGCATGATTTACTTTCATTATGTTGACTTGTTTATCTTTGAAGTCAATTTGAAGACCTGCTTCTTCCATTTTCTTCACAGACATTAAATTATATGAAAGTAGATTACATACCCATACATTCTTCATTTTAATTTGGTTATCATTTACTGCTTTTAGATTCAAATCACCTTGTTTTTATTGCCTCCAATGATTGACCCTTCTTTGCTACATTTATGTTATACATTACTTCCTGGATATTATCTAAAAACATTTCAAGATCCTTTGTAACTAAGTGATTTGTAGCACCACTATCTATTATGAAATTTATTTCACCAGATTCTGAGTTGCTAACTAAGGTGGTTTTCTCTGTTGTCAAAAATGTTATCCTTGCACCATTTTCTGCTGGGAATGCCGTATTTTGCAGCAGCTAAAGATAGAGAGAACTGGAGACGTTTGGAGGAGCGCCTATATCCAACAATGGATTGTGAAAATGGGGCTGGATGATGATGATGATGATGATGAATGCCCTATTTCCATTTTATTTTTCCAACACTGATAGCGCTTGTGTCCCATTTTTCCACAGTATGGCATTTAAATTAAATTTAAATGCCATAACTGTGGAAAAATGAAACTGCTTATTATTTCTCACATTACCATTATTGCTTCCAGCTTTATTCTTCCATTTATTCCATGGCTGTTTATTTGCTACAAATTCAACATCAGGATTTGTTTCACGGTCATTTTTATTGTGCCTTGGCTCTTCCATTAGTAGCTTGTTTTTAAACAAAGTCTAATGTAACATTAATTTCATCTTGACAAAACATAATATCAATTGCCGTAGTAACTGCTTAATATGCTTCAACCATTGCAGAGAGTAACTATAACATAATTTCACGATCTTTTACTTGATCTCCTGCACTTTTAAGTTCATGACATACTCAGTTTGATTGAATTCTATTAAAAACATATTTAAAGACCCTGTTGTGTATTTCAATGACCTTAGTTTATGCTGCAGTTGAACCTGTCTCGAAATTCCCTTCTTTTGGTAAGTATTTTCCAATGTACCTATAATCTCTTTTGCTAAGGTATTTGATTTAATCATTTCTAGTACAATGCTATGCAAACATTGTACAATTAGTTCCCAGGCTTACACATCGTTTTTCTTATATACTTCTCGAGCGACATCACCTGCAGGTTCATCTTGGGATAGTACAGCTATGACACCAGCCTGTTCCAGTAACAATTTTACTCTAAATAACCAGCTGGAAAAATTGTTTCCATCAAAGGATTTTATGTTTACAACATTTGTTTCCCGTCATTTTTGTCTTTGAGTTCTGTCACACGTTTTTCGTAAACACTTTTGTTTTCTGATTACCACCTCATATTATTATTCAAGCTTCTTGAATTTCCACAACTTTGGTACATAACCTTTAGAGATGCGTGATGGAAAAAGTCTGCTTATATATGGAATACTAAAACTATACGTATTGTAATACCAACAATTGCTCATGAATTCGTATTAAAATAATATCATTTGTACTTATAATCGGGACTAGCTGATTGCAGTTGATCAGGCCTATACATCCATAATTTGGTTTTAGGATAACTTTATTGATTACCATCTAGTATTAATTGATAACTTTAGATATCTGGGTAGTTGGATTGACTACAGGGTTGAAAGTGACGAGGAAATTTCGACCAGAATAGAACTCGCACGGAAAAACTTTATTAACTGGCGTTCTGTATTATACAGTAGAAGTCTGTCGTTGACCACACCCCTAAGAGTATTGAAGTGCTACGTCTGGTCCACTTTGTTATATGGATGTGAAACCTGGACAACAAAAATAAAAAAATCTTAACAAATTAGAAGCGTTTGAGTTATGGTGTTACCGTCGCATGCTCACATGCAACAGTGTGGACAGCACACATCTAACGAACGTGTGCTAGAGACCGTGCGCAAAGAGCGAGCATTGATCAACATCATCAAAATGAGAAAGATCCTTTAAAGAATGACCATCATTTTCACATACAGAAATATACCAAACATATACCACACTATGGGGAGTACTTAGCTTAGGGTGTCAGTTATACCCACTTACAAACTGGTCAGTTATCTATAAAGTTGAGTATATATTATAGATGTTTCTTTATATTTTATAAATGTGACCAGGAGCCTAAATGTTGAGTGTATTCTTTCAACCAAAAGTCATTATCAGTTTACTAGGCTTACATTTTTATTTTCTATAATTTTAATAAACCCTTGTATATATATTTACAAAAATAAACTGTTTATTATAAAATGTCTTGTATTTCCCACACAATTTAAAATATAGGTAAAATACACCTAAAGTTAGGTAACACAATATTCCTAATATAATTTTAATTCAAAAATTCTTTGGAAATACGCCCAAATATAGGCAAAACTTTATACAATCTAATTGAATTGGGCTCTCTGTCATCAGTAGAAAGACACCCGTCATTTCGGCTCTCCTGATACTAAATCTAGAAAATTGTCGATTTATTCCTTCAAACAGGTCCATCTAAGGACTAACTAACCCTTTGCCACTTCTGCTGTCCTGATGATAAATTTTAAAAATTGTCCGCTTTTTTTAAGTACTCAAGAGACAAAAAGTATTTTTTTATATAGTTCGCGAAAATAAAACAATCAAATTATTTCACAATTTATTTGTAAATGAGACACGAAAAACATTTTACAGATTATCATATTTTATGTAAAACTTTATTTAGTTTCTCGCCAATGCAAGACATTTGAATACTTCTACTTGGTTGAATCCTTCATTCAGTATTATTATCTGCAAATAATAAATAAATTAAACACCAATAGCAACATATTTAAGGTTGGCAAGTCAAAAACGGAGTACCTATATGTGGTTGGGAGGAAGAGGAATGGTTGTGAACAGGGAATTGCTTAAAAAAAGATTAGGACAAGTAGAAGAAATTAAATATCTTGTCTCCTCAATAACGAAAAATAGGACTAAGTAACGAGAAATTAGCCACAGAATGCAGGCTGGTTGGTTTTTAACTAAAAACGAATGAGCGGAGTCTTCTCTGATCGAAAAATCGAGGAAGAGCTAAGAGGAAAGATATACAAGAATGTGGTGAGACCTGCGTTCAAAGAAGATTCCAGAAAAGAAGATGGAGGTAGTTGAAATGATAATGTTACAGTGGATGTTGGGTAAGACTAGAAGGAACAGTAGAGATTGAAAACTATGTGGGATAAAGGATAGAGCTGTTAGAAGTTGATGGAAGTAGAGGTAGAGGAAAATCTAGGAGAAGATGGAAGGACTGTATGGCAGAGGACTGAAGAGAAAAAGGTCCGATGGACAGAAATGAGTGGCGTCGGAGTGTAAGGAACCGCAACCGCTGAAAATGGAAAAGCTAAGGAAGAAGAATATGAAAAAGAGAGATATTTTGCTATTAAATGTCTTCCTTTACATTTTGACATTTCACTACATTTCCTTTCATGAAGGCTACTCAAATTGCACTCTTTTTCTCATAATTACTTAGTCTCCTAATGCTCCATGTCTAATAATTTTATTTCGCAGATTGTACTTTCATTCTTCATATTGCTGTCCTCTCTAGACTCAATTTTCTTCCCTATAAAACTTTGAGCTTTTGGACACAGATAACAACAATAATGCAACAATATTACTCATAATTATTCAGATTAATCCATCGGAAATGCTGTACATATTCATATGAACAGAAAAAAATTCAATTTATTAATAATTCCGACTATTTGAACAATTATTGATTAGAAAACAACTGTATCGGCTAAATATTAAGATTAGTAGCTTTCAGCAAAAGCTTGCTATTATTCTGATGAAATAAAACCCGAGCATTATGGTGTTTGAAGCACAAATTAGCCAAAGCTTTCGCGTTTGAATCGATTTAGTCCCCACCTCTTCGGTCGACTCGGGCTGATACATACAACTTCAAACTCGGAAGACTCAACTAATGTCTCCAAAAGAGTTCCCACGTTAGCGGTTAGAGCACAGATATGCCACTGCTTCGATGGCGAAGAACGATAGCGATTTAATAAATCGTTTTCTGTCCTTCTGTAAAAGTATATAAGACAACAGTAAGATCAATCCTAACATATGCAGCAGAGACAAGAACCGATACAAGAAAGATGAAACAACAAATCAACAATATCGAAATAAAAGTATTAAGATCAATAGCGGGCATATCATTAAGATACAGACAAACCAACAGAAGTATACGCGAACAATCTAAAATGCAAAATATTAAACAGGTGGATAAAAACAAGAAAAAAAACTGGAAAGAACATGTAAACTGAATGGGACCAGATAGATTAGCGAACATCTGTAAAAACAACAATCCGTATAACAGAAGACCCGTTGGAAGGCCGCCAAAAAGGTGGAAAGATTAATTTACAGTCAACAACGACTGAAACATAATAAGAGGCAGACAAGCAGGAATAATCCTAGTCGCAGGAAGAAGAAGAAGAAGTAATTTAGCATATTTGTGTCGGCTACCGTCATGCCCAAAAATAATTATTAAATTTTGAACTAATTAATTGGTCTACAAAAAACTGGACCCATAACAATCATCTACTAATCAACTACAACAATCGATTGCATATTATCATTATTCTTATCGGAATCCAGAATATTTCTCGACTTACGACATAAAGGTAAAGGACAAGGACAAATAAAAATTAAATAAAGCCATCATTAGCGTGTATATTTGAACAATAAATGATTTTAAAATTATAAGTTTGTTAGTTTGTTTGTCGCAGACATTTATTTAATGGTTAACACAAAACTATTTTAACGAAACAGTAACTATATTAAGTAGAAAAACATTTTAAAAGAATAATAACATCTTAAAATTAAAAGAATCAAATATAATTCAAATTGATAATTTGAAGATCTTCTAATCATCAAATAGTTCCTGCGTGGAGTGGATAACTAACCAAGTATGACTAACTTCACATTAATAAACGTCACTCAGTCCAAAAGGTAAACACAGTAGGAGAGAGACCACATCATAAATACTAGGGTTTTAAAACCCGTAAATAAATAATAATACTTATCATAATATTCAAAATGATATAAAATTTGCATAAATATGTGGTTTCTAACGTTTATAACATATGTGGCGATAATAATACAAGTTATTTTTGTTACCATTTCTATAGGTTAGTAAAGTAGTCATTGAATTTCTTAAATAAAAAAATGCTATTTTTCAGCTGCTGGTTTGTATTATTTGGCAGAATTAGTAGAGGAATATACTACAGTAGCCAAAAAAGTTATTTGGTGGCTAAATGCGGTAAGGCATTTTAAATTAATACCACTTTTCCTTATAGGGTTTTTTAAATAATGTGATAGTATTTTTTTATTCATTTATTTGTTATAATGATTTACAAAATTATGGTGGATACATAACAACCAATACTATTGATAAACCCAGAAAATATTACCCTTTATTCTCTAAGTGAGGAATGAATATACTTTTTAATTTATGATTTTTTCCTACTAGCAATGACTTGCAAATACATCACTTCAAGCCTTTGTTGACAATGTATTAGATATATTACACAGTGGACAAAGTTTTAAAAAAATATATAGTCTATTAAGGAAGGGGGTAAGATTTTATTTTGCGTTTTTTTTTATTTGATAGTATAATTCTTCAAGAGTAACCAGTTAAAAATTCAAAGTAATTGAAGCAAAACTATAACGCTATAACTCTTCAAGAGTTATATCCAGTTACAATTTCAAAGTGATTGGAGCAAAATTGATGGTGTTATAGGTATTTATGAGTGAGTGAGTCAGTTAGGTGAGTGTGTGATTGAGCTGAGTGAGCACTCACCTACACATTGGAATATACACAGTTTAAAATTCTCATAATTATGCAGTCGTGGCAGATAAAAATAGAATTACTAGAGTGGGTAAAATGGCTGCAGATACGACAAAAAAAGGCAGAGTTAATTGAAACCATGAACAAAAGAATGCTCTAGATATTTTAGCAAGAAGCGCTTCGCTATATGGGCCTAGAATAGAAAACACTGTGTGAGTATAAAAAACAAGCTTTTTTTAAACACATGTTTCTCGGAATAATTTTTTTAAGTCAGTGTTCACTGTATCTCAAAAACTACTTAATCTATCTCAAATTTTGCACACTTCTTTTACAGATAAATTACTATGTCGCAACGACGATATATTGTCCATTTTGTTGTTATAATGAATTTTACAACATTAAATTGTTCAGTAAAAGTCAAATTTTAACAAAAAATGTCTTTTTTTACTTCTGAAATTTGAAAAAACTATAAAATGAGCAATATTAGGACATTGCTACCTAGGAAAATGCATAAACTAACAAGATCCTTTTGGTTAACAGATCATCCAGTTATAAGTTACTATGATCACACAAAGTAACTTTTTTTCATCTTGAAAAATTTTTGTACCAAAATTTCAGATAATACTCTTGAAATGTGTACCATAATGTACTCATGTTATAAATAAATTTATATTAAATAATTTTTCAAAGACACATCTTAAAAATATGTTTAAAATATTGAAAATAAACCCTATCCTTCACCTTAACTTAATATTATTTAATATCTAGGCAAGTGAACAGACCAAACCGAGCCGCAGTCTACCTAAATGAAACAATATGGAGAAATAAAAATATCGGGAAAGAAATAAAGGGAAGAATTTACAAAACAGTCATCAGACCAATAATGACATACGTGGCAGAAACAAGACCTGGCACAGGGAGGACAAAAAGGATGTTAGAAATAGCAGAGATGAAAACACTTAGAAAAATTGATGGTAAGACACTATTTTCCGGGTCCGATTTGTCTCCCTTTTTGAAGAGAGGTATTAGTGTAGATGCAAGGTGAAGAACATCAAGAACTGGGTAAGAAATAGAAGAGTAGAATGGAACTATCATATAAGCCGAATGACAACAAATAGAGTAGTAAAGATGGCAAGAGACAGTTCCCTAATAAGAAGACCATGAAAACGATGGAATGACAACTTACTGGAGGCACATTTAAAGACAGACAGAGTCATGTCTACGTAAAGAGAAAAAGAAGAAGAGTGTATGTGGCAATACAGAGATATATAAATGTACTTAGTTGGCCAAGAATGTAAGGAATATGCATGTATTATCTACCATTGTGAAAAACCAAAGTTTTAGAACTACACTTTGGATTGAATGAGATCACCTGTTATAAATAATAAATGTCTGGTATTGGTATTTATACTAACCTTCTAGGTACAGTCTATTTGGATTACTTTTATTCTTTAGCAACACATTCTTTGATGAGGATAAACATTTACTCATTTCAGTTGTTCAGATTTATATTGTGTATTTGGTAAAGTATGCATTTGTGGCATATGTAGTTGTTTTTCTCATTAATGTAGTTTACTTGTATCCAACACTGGGCAAAAGCAAACTTTTTAAATACTTTCATAGGTGGCTCAAACAGTGGTATTTCATAGGTGGCAGTATTTAAGAAAACCAATACATACTTCAATATTTCTATAATTCTTTCATCAATAATTCTTTCCTCTAATTTTTCTATAGCATCTCAGCAAATGTTTTATCATTAAACTTTATGAATTTTCAATAAATATTTCTTCTCGCAACACTGTAGACTATTTTCTTCAGAGTACTCATTTCAATTACTATATAGTGGGTCTAGTGGGCCCCCAAGTTCCCACAAAATTAAAAGAATAACTTGTAGACATAAAAAATAACACACAGTTTTAATTTTAAAAACTTAATGTATTCAAAATTATAACAACTTTTTTATTACATCTATACATTTGAATAAAACAAAAACTTGCAGTTTTTAAATACTTACTAATACAAAAAACTAACTATTTATCACTAGTCTTAACCTTTTTTAACAACTCTAATCCTTTAGGTTTTAATTTCCTATCCAATATTGCTTTTTTCTTATTCTCAGCATCTTCTAGCATTTTGTTGTGTCTGTCTACAGCAAAATCTATTTCTTTTGTAAGATTTATGATATCCATCTTTACTTGGTGTTGTTCTAAAATCCTCTCTCTTTGGCCTTGTCCATAAGGTGTAATTCTACCATCTAGGAAAGTGTAATCTGGAGAATCAGTTAAAACACCCCGTTTGGTAGGATTCATTGGTAAGTCTCGTTCCTTTCTCCATTTTTGTATTAGATTTACAGTATTGGATGTGGTAAAATTCCTTTTTGTTAGTAAAAGTTCTGAAACAGAATATGGATTTGTATTGTGTGTCTTTTGACTTAATTCAAAATATTTTTCTGGTATAAAACATATTACATATCGTTTATACGTACTCGAGCATAGAGCAGGTCTAATTGCCTGCATTATTAATTAAAATATAAATGGGAAAACTTCAAAAATCTTTAATAGTGTGTTAGTGTGTATATTTTTATTATTGAGGTTAAATTTCGTAGCTGCTCTTCTTTTTGTTAGTGACAATTGACATGAAATTTTAGACTGACATGTTCAATGTTGCCATCTATTTTGCGATGATCTATGATGCGGATATTAGTTTTTTGGGAAAATTATATACAAGCATAGTAAAATGTGTAAAAGTTTATTTATACACTATAATTTATATAATTAGGTGGTTATTGATAAATATAGGTAAAAATTTTTTATGGAATTATGAGCGTATATTGACAAGTATTGCGATACTACTAAAATAATAAAAACTAGAAATTTTTTGAAGCATCCACTCCAATTTTTTATAATTATTTTTCTTTCCAGATTACTTTGGGATTATATACTCTGTTATGGATATTTGAAAGTTTTCCAACATCCGTTGTAGTCTGTGGACTACTTGCTCAGCTAAACCATTTTGTAATATTAAGAAATTTTCCTTATGTAGTGTTCCTATCTTTGGAATTTATCGCTACAGTTGTATTTATTATTCTTAACCACTATTTGGCATTCAGCTATTTCGCTACAGTATACCATACGTTTTCGGAGGTAAGAAAATGAAAAAGGAAAACCCTTTGATGTAGATATTTTAACTTTTAATTTTTAGGTACTAGCATATTTCACATTGTTTCTGTGGTTAGTACCATTTGCTTTGTTTGTTTCTCTGTCAGCCAATGACAATGTGTTACCTACAAGTATATCAGAAGGAACAGGTAAATATATTGTATATTTCAGTGTTTTATGCCAATTTTTTTATGTCAAAATTTAGCGATTTAATCCAAATCATTTAATAGGGTTAAATCCTCCTCATTAACTCGCCGTACGTCACTGTGATAGCGAAAAATTCTTTTTTACCATAATTTTCATGTATTTGAGATTACTTGAACTTGCTGCAATTTATCATAAATGAAATATGTATAGGGAATATTAAACTCATGTTCAACATGTTTTAAAATTGTATAAATTTGTATTTCAATTTTCGTCACGTGATGGAAAAATTTGATATATTAGCGCAAAATAGGCGTTACATTAAATTTTTAAGAGGTGTATTACTTTTAATATATTAATTTTTTTTAGATACGGACGTTGTATCGAATTACTTCTCCAAAAGAAAAAAGAAGGTCGGTTTGCTAACAGCATTCAACTACGCAAAAGACTCAATTCTGCCATTAAGAACAAAGAAAGGCTTTTAAAAGACAAATGTTCATAGTTATAAATAATAATTTATTACATTTTAATGTATACTCTTTAACTTATAAAAAAACGGATTTGTTTTCTGTTTGTAATAAACTCTTAAAAACCACTTTTATGTTTACTTACTCAAATCCATCTCTAAAATTTAAAATACTGTCAGTTTCTTCTTGTTTTCTCTTATACCCTGTTCATTTTTAATCATTTGTGCCTGTTTTTGTAAATTTGTAAGTTCCGCTAATAACCGAGTGATTTTGTCTCGTATTTTCTTGTGTATTTCAGATGTTTGGTCAGTATGTCGTGCTAGAGAGCTTTGTAATTGGTCCAGCTCCCTTTCAGCTTTTCGTATGTCCTCTTGTATAGTCATACTCCTAATATTTAAGTCTCTAGATGATCCTTTCTTTATGTCTTGTCTGGTTTCTAATTTATCGTTTTGGCTGCCAGTTGCCTGAACGGTTTTGTTGATAAATGTAAAAAGGTCTTCTTTTTTCTTATCTCTTTCATAAGCTTTTCTGCTTTGATTTTCTTGTTTTCGTTGGATACGTTTCATTTTTCGCTCAACGCTGAAGAGATCTTTGTCACCTCCTGATCGTTCCCTGAGATTCATGCAATAATCTGAAAAAAATATAAAGTGGTAAATGCCAATAGTAGTAGGGTAAAAATAGATACTACAAGAACCTCATAGTTTAGACTGATGAGACATTCTTAACATCTCACTCACAATCATATTTCAATGTACATACAGTGAATGAGAAAAAAAGGACAAAAACAATAAATTTGGATTTGGTGTGGAGCTTTGTACGAGAGAAACACTTTTTGGTCTTCAGATACTGCTACAAAAGTGCCGAGATCATCACACAAACGGTCTGGTCTGGTCCAGTGTTGCAATTTTCTTTGACACACTAGATAAAATGAGCAAAATATTGAGATATGAAAGCATTCAAAGGATGCTTACATCCGGTAGTGGCCAAATTTATGATGATTGATGACCATGAATTGCTGTCTTTTACAATGCTATACTTACCTATAGATTTTCCTGTGGGAAATATAACAGCACTGACAGGATTGATTATACCTTCTGCACGTTTTCCTAAACCAGTTCCTATGATGTATCCCATTTTCATCATTAGTTTTGAGCCCATGCCCTGAAAAACGAAAACTGTAGATAACAATACATCCAACAAGCAAAAGCCACACCCATCAGTATTGAAAATATTCATGAAGGTAAGTAGAATAGAGATAGTTATGATAAAGTTGTTAGATATCTTATTAGCCTATTACTAAAAGCTTAGATGTCACAAAGAAACATGATTTTTCATTAGTAACCGAATAGTTTATTGATATAACTTACCTTTGTGTGTTTTTCCCAATCACCCATTCTCTGATCCATTGGTTTAACAGTCAGGCTCATATTGATAATATCTTCCTGATTATTTTCGGCTTCTAAATTATCATTATCGTCAGTATCATTCCATCATTTTCATCATCACTACTTCCATTACAATTTTCCAATGGACAAATATGTTCTAAATTCACTTCTTGTTCCTTTCGATTATTATCAAATTTAACTAGACATTTATCTGCATGTATACTCTTAATATGTGCTCTATACCATAAGTTATTATTTTGTTTTGCCAGTACTGAATTACCAACTTCCAGCTGGTCAAAATTTGGTTCTACATATTCCTGAAGACTTGAATAGGGTACTATTTCTCCGTGAGAAAATTTGCACTGTTCCTCTGAGAATTTACAATCTGAGTTGTAGTAGAATGGACACGGTAGCATTTCTTGATGGGTGGGATTTATAAAAAGGACCCTTACCTAGAAAGTAAAAAGCTTATTTCAGATCATTAATGTATAAATAAATAGCTACAGAAGAAGATATATAACATATTCAGTTCTGCATTGGTGAAATGAAGACATACAACCAAAAACACAGAGTGATCAAGTGCAAGGTGAATGAGGAAAATCTTGTGCATGTTTTTCCTTTCCAGGAACAACAGTGCACAGTAGAACCTTTTATGAAGCCACAATAATTTCATCATAAAGTAACTGTTAGCAGCTGGTCCTGGTTAATGAAGATACAGCAGCAGAAATTTATAGTGGAGTATGCCGAACTATTAAGGAAGATAATCTTCTTCTTCAGTGCCTTATCCGGTCCGGATGTTGGCGATCATCAAGGCTATTATGGTTTTGTTGACTGCTCTGCGAAACAGCTCTACTGAGGTCATCCCAAACCATTGTCGGAGATTTTTCAACCACGAGATATGACGGCGTCCCGCTCCTCTTCTGCCAAATACTTTACCCTGCATAACGAGTTGAAGAATTCGATATTTTTCTTCGTTCCACATCATGTTGGCCGAGGAAGGTGGATAATGCAGGACAAAATCAAAGGCAGAAGATGATCAAAATTTTGGCATTCACTCAGTATGTATGAGGTGTTAATTAGTGTTACCTGCTATTCAAACAGACTTGAACTTGTAACTGAATTTTCAGTGGAAACACTAAATTATGTGAAATACCTGTGAATAAGGGTTAAGAGAAAAAGCTAAGAGAATTACAAGATCTACTGGGTTAAATAATAATAACACTTTACACTTCCATTTGCTGACGAAATGACGCCAGTTATATATCCATAATTTCCTTGCAAAAAATGTTGAGAAAATGGATATATCTAAGAGAATCACTTTATAATACAGTAGTATCTATATATAAAATTATTCTGAAGTAAAGAAGTTAACAGGAATGTTAAATATGATACCTTAAGTTCTTCATTTTCGTTAGAGACCACTGAACAAATCATAGCATTGTGATAGGTAACATTGCCCCAATGATGGTGATGTGGAGCTCTACATTTCTTTCCTTCAATCTCTTCTAAATTAATTTGTTTATTACATTTGCTTGTGTCCTTATTATTTTTTAGTCTCCACTGCTCCTTCTTTTTCCATTTCCTCCATAAACGCAGCGAATTCATCATCAATGCTGTTAGTACCACAAGTGTTTAATTTTTCGCTGCTGTCCTGGGTAGTGAGTTCTAGCAATTCTTCAATGTTGGCTTTTAACGTGAGTAGTTCCTCCTTTTCTGGCCCTTCTGAGCAAGAACATAGTGCGTTATTTATCTGAATCAACTAAAAAGATAATCGTAAATGATATGATTAACCTACAGGAACAAGCAAACCTGTTGTTGATATAAATTTAATTCCTCAGGATCCATATTTATATGTGAAAATTATATATAAATTTTATTACTATTTATTTAATTAAAACTGAAACATTTTTAATATGTTTCATTTTATTTCAATCACAATAATTACACTTTTTGGTTTGGCCTTTTACTGATAGAATATATTGTCAAAATTCTCACTTTCATATTGATCAACATTATAAATATAGATATTTAATTAGTTTGATCCATACTAACACACACTCAACATAGCTCATTTAATAAAAATAATTTATAAAAAGATCAATTAAAAGAAATTAGCAGGTACAACGCCTGGTAGTTCAAATGTACCATTGACAGATGCTTTTTGACATTTCCAATTCCAAGGTTTTTCATTTTCACGTTTTTATTGATGCGATAGCATGGTACCGCATGGAAATTATTTAGTTTTTGTGGAATGTACATGTTGCTTCTAGATTTCTTTAATAAAATATTATAAAATGCCGTTTTTGTGGGAGGATGTGAATGTGGAGGGTTTACAATTCGTATTTTTGCCCTTTGAGGTTATCCAAGATGAGCGGCTCAAAAGTGTTTTATTACAACTAGAAAATAATACTAAAGAAAATGAACAGAAAGAGCTTATGAAAGAAATTGTGAGTGTATACAGCTAGAACAATGTAACAACAATTTTACATTTTTGTCTATGGGTTTCAAAAAATCTAATATACTAAGAATTTTTAGAAGTTGTGTTTGTGTGGTTGGAAATATGACTGCGAAGTTGTAAAAGATTTCTCTAAGTTTACGTAAAATACATATTTTAATTAAAATGACGAGTGCGGTAGGAAAGCTTAATCTATCTGGAGAGAATGTTAACCTTACTAGAATGAGTTTTGAAGACACTCATGTCTTGATTTCTATTATTATGGATATATAATTTATATAATCATTGTAGTTTTCCTTTCTGTAAATCACATATTTTTACAAATTTAAAATACTAATTTTTCTGAATTGTCTTTATTTCATTTTTTTTGCTATTTCTGATCTAAGTTATTTTTTATAAATTCAGATATCAATTTCCCCCATTTATATATTACCTTTGCTTTTTGAGCATTTTTATTTCTTTTTTACTCTTTGCAATACTTGTTTTCAATCCTACAATCGTTCAAGGTTTTTAAAACCACTTTTGCCTTTTTTATTTACCAATTGCATACTAATCCTGATTTGATGTTCTAGGCCATAGAATAATCCTACAGTTTTGTGATATGATGTCGATATGGCACAAATATGTTCAAAAATTATTTGTAATTTAAAGAATTAATTTTTTAATGTTTTTATTGTCTTTTTCAGACTGATTTTTGCAAGAACAAGGAAAATATTAATTCTGAATTAATCTGGTGCATCATGGATCTTCTCATTAAGTACAGTTCAAAAAAGGTTTTAAAGAAATATCTTCTGGACATTATTACAAAAAATGATTTAACAGATCTTATTATTATCAGCACTGTATCTCATATTTTAGCTGCAGTTACAGTACACAAAAAATGCAACATCAAACTGGGGACAGACTTCTTAAATTTCATATACATCATTCAGAATTCTACCACATTTAATAATGATCTTAATAAATATTTATTTCCACTATATGTTTGCTCTTTACGATGGGTTTGTGGATCAACTAAAGTAAGTTTGATAATAATTTTAGTATTTTAAAAATAAGTATAGTTCGGCGTTCTTTATATGCAATCATCATATTGTATGAAATAAATAAAAGCCAAGACTTTTTAATTAGTACGAAGCTGAGATTACTTAAGAAACAATTGATAACATATAGTTCATTTGCTTCATTATTTATTTCATTTTTTAGAGTTGTCTACAAACTACAATACAACTAAAAGAATGCACTATTATTGCATTATTCTAGCTTTAATGTAGTTCATAGATAACTCACCATATGATACACTGCCATTCATCCTTAACAGAGTGAATACATATATGAAGCATACTGACATATAGATACAAATCTTAATACCAGTAAAAAATATAGTGATCAAACCATTAGTCAAAAAGATATTTACCTTTTTGGTTAATTTCCCAAAAAAATTTGTTTTTATTTTGTTTTTAACTTGCAAATGTTGTCATTTAAAGAAAATAAATGTAAAAGGCAGGAAAAGGGTCAGAATTCAGAAAAAAAAAGAAAGGAAAACAGACAATAAGTTGCATAAATATGAAAATATATTGGAAGAAATGAGGTACAGCTCCAAAAAATTCCACACAAAACACAGTATCAATAATTCAAAAAGAAACTCAATCTAGAAGTGGAAATCAGCCAGCAAATAATATAACTAAATTGATAAATCAAATGGGGCCATTAAATTTTATATTTTTTATATATCATTAAATAAATTTAACTATGAAATTAACTATTTTAAAAAAAGATTTAACAAAGTACTGTCAAAAACAGATTATTTCTTTGAGCTATTAGAGAAGAAACTTTTCAGCAATTCTAACTGTTTTCAGGTCAAATCTTACAAATGTCTCATCATTGCTGGAAATGATCAATATTGTCCTCAAGCAAATTTATCGATTTTTGTTAGGGATGTTCCATATATTAAGCAAATGTCAGAAAAGTTTAGAATGAAACTCATTTTGTTGTCTCATCAAGTTATTGTTTGTGAGAAAGTTGGATTCGATATTAAAACAAAAGCTGGATTAATTTTAGCACATTCCTTCCAAGTAGTTCCTGAAGAATTGTTAGTTAGTGTGGTAAGTATATTTTTTTATGGTCTGAAAAATACATAGCCAACTCGTTAGTGTGTCACTATTGTCTGTATATAATTTTCAGAAACATAAAGAGTGTATCGCCTTAGAAGTTTTAGAAGAATATAATCCAGAAAAGAAACTGTTATTAGGAGACCATGAATTGAGTGTTTTTACAGAGTGTGAACAATTAGTAATTACTTATGGATCTATTTTGAATGTTGTGCCAAAAGAAAAGATGTGTCAAGTTAAAATTGGTGATAAGACATTATTGTGTTTGGTTTATGAAGGTCTTCTCGAATGTGCTAAAAGGTAAGCTTTTTTTTAATCCAAAAATAGTTTGTTCAAGTGTTGATGGTATTTTATTAAGTTTGTTTAATAATTATGAAGCATAAGAGAATATGCTTTTTATTTTACAAGATAAATTAGACAAATCTTCTGTTGGATGAAGGTGTGGCAGTTGAAAAACATATTTAATAGCCCTGTTTTGTATTACTGTAAGACAGATGTGAGTTTATTGACATATTTTTGAAAGAACATATTGTCATCTTTAGTAGGTGATTTTTTGAATGTTTTAACAACTTTTCGTTTTTCCACGTGTATATCGCTGTAACGGGGAATCAATTCAAGACTAGCCGATATTGGTTCGATTGTTACTGTCAATCCTTCATTCATCTCTCTCTCCATATCTTCATTTTCGTCTTCATATTCACCAGTGTCATCTATTGCTACTTGTTCTACTTCTCTTTGACATTTCTTTTTATACACCACATCTACTACAGCCAAATGAATTCCATGTGCATAGCACAGTTGTTGATAGCAAGGCATGAGCTTGCCAACTTTCACCATAACGGATGCGCTGTCGGTTGTGATACAACAATTGTCAACTGTCCTGCCACTAATTCAATACAGTGTTCAGCATTGCACGAGCCGTGAATTCTGATCAAACCTACATTAAAATATTCTGCATTGTGCAAATTGAGATTTATGTATCTGTGATTTTTTTGGGATGTCCACTCGTCAAAGCTCAATGAAAATCTTTGTCCTTTTTGTTTTAAATTAGTAAATTCTTTTATAAGATTTGACATAACCTGACATGCTTGCTGGATCTAGCATATAAAAAATGCTGGATCCAGCTGAATTGCTGGATGCTGGATCCAGCAATTGCAATATCTAGATACAACATTGATTGCAGCAGTAAATTGGGTAATAAATCCATATAAATCAGAAAAGTGTTGGTTCCAACAAGGAACTCCACATGAAATATTTTTTTCGTATTCTGTCACTCAAATAGTCCCTTAACCAAACTAAAGTTATTCCAGTTATCCCTGTTCAAACACTAAAATAAGTAAGTCATGGGGCAACTGCATTAAAAGCTTTTTGCAAACACAATAATACAAATACACAACGTAACCTTATGTCTAATTTTTTGTATATGTCTGTAATTAAGTCAGTACTAGCAGAAGAGACTGCTTGAATCATGCTTAAAACTATATTGTTTGTTAAACCAGTAACCATATAAGAGATGACTCAAAATTAAAGATTGAATAGATTGTAAATTTACAATAATCAAGCTATATTTGATTTGTGTGCATGACAGTACAGTTTTATAGCAGAATAAATATGCAGAATAATTTTCTAATGGAGTAAAGTATAGCTATGACTATAAAACTATGATTCTAGATCAACCAGTATTTCTCATCTCATAGTCGAAATAAGTAGGACTCTCTCTATCATTAGCAAACACATGAAAAACGTTCCTGCTGAGCATATAGAACCTCTGTTCATTCAAGGGATCTCATTTGTGTGGTCACACATTGAACACTTCGTTGACAGTGTTCGGAATTATACCAGGCAGTTTTTCGCTGAGCTAGTGATGATTGCAGCTATTCATAAACAATAATGGTAAGCTTATTTATAATATTTCATTAATTTTTTAGTGTACAGGCCATATATTGTAATATACCAATAAACACGTACAGAGTACACATTTTTACCATGATTTTGTGCCATCTAGTATTAGCAGTTGATGATGAACTAATTTTAGGTTGTCCTCAACTATTGAACAATCTAATTGAAAACATCAAACTCGCCGGTACCAAACAAAAATTCAAGTTTGTAGCGTTAGAGCACATTTCCGCCCACATCGGCTGTGCGTATCTCTTGGAACAATTTAAAAATCTCGTAGAAGATCTTCTGAAAGTAATCTCGGAGCCGACCATCTCAGAGGAGGTAGATCTTAAACAATTCACATAGGTAGGTATTAAACAAAATAATTTTGTTAGGTTTGTAAAACGTACATGGCTATGATGGAGAAACATTTCCAAGAAATCGACGCGGAGTCCTGGATAAACACTTGGATAACTCCACCTACGAGGCTGTTAACCATATGCTCGCATTGTACTCCGTTATGTCAGAAGATTATTACGAGGGCCTTCCAGTTACATCCTGCAGTTTTACGAATCGTGTAAGTATACACTCATTATGTTTGATTGATCTGATGTTCGCCATCTGTTGGCTGTGTACGAAGTTGTGAAACCATCCAAGTTATCTTAACTGCGTTTTTTAGTTATGACAGTATTTTATTTAATT